CACACACACACACACACACACACACACACACACACACACACACACACACACACACACACACACACACACACACACACACACACACACACCACACACACACTCTCTCACTGTGTAATTGTGTGTTCAGACCTGATGACGGAGATGATGGACCTCAGCAGTGATGTAGGGGGGCCGGGCCCCCCCCTGCTGGACTACAAGACGTATGCAGAGCGGATCTTCTTCCCCGGCCAGCAGGGGGCGCCGTTCAGCCGTCAGCTGGACCTGCCGGAGCACCGCCGCGTCACCGTGGAGACGGGCCTGCAGAACCTGAGCCTGCTGCTCAACAACCGGCTGTTCCTCACCAGGGTGGGGTCTCCGTTTACTATAAATACTGTCTCTATATGTGGGGGGGGGTCTCCGTTTATTATAAATACTGTCTCTATACGTGGGGGGGGTCTCCGTTTATTATAAATACTATCTCTATACGTGGGGGGGGTCTCCGTTTATTATAAATACTGTCTCTATATGTGTTGTAAATGTATTCGTTCAGTTGTTGAGGATGGTGCTGTCTCCGGTTGTTTAATATAATATAAAGAGTGTATGTTGTCCCCGGCGCAGTTCATCCACACTCTGGAGGCGCAGCAGGGCTTCTCTCAGAGGGACCGGGGCTACGTGGCCAGCCTTCTGACCGTCGCTCTGCACGACAAGCTGGAGTACTTCACCGAGGTGATGAAGGGCCTCCTGCAGGACCTGGTGCAGCAGTATGTGGCCAAGAACCCCAAACTCATGCTGCGCCGGTACGTAAACAAACACACCCCAACTCATGCTGCGCTGGTACGTAAACAAACACACCCCAACTCATGCTGCGCCGATACGTAAACAAACACACCCCAACTCATGCTGCGCTGATACGTAAACAAACACACCCTCACCTGCAAGTGGGGGGGGGTCTCCGTTTAGCCTCAAAGGGCGGAGCAGCGAGCCCCCCAACGCCGCACCCAGACCCCACCCAGCATTCTCATCTGTTTGTCCTTACTGGTGTCATTTCCTGGTTGCTAACAAACGCCATTGTAACACATAAACACTGATGTTCAGCTGTAACGGTGGTGGACTCATCAGAACAGAGTGGGCGAGCTGACCAATCAGAGCGCAGTGGGCTCACAGGGGGGGCGGGGGGGGGCAGGAGCTCCAACAAGCCGTGTAGGACAGAGAGTGAATACACACACTATACAGAGATGCTGTTTGAGAAACCAATGAGATTTTGGAACATTGAATAATGTAAATCTATTCTAGTAGACCTCAACAATGGAACTATGATCAGTAGAAATGGCCATGACATGGGACCTTTAATACTTTTGAAT